CTGCTCCTATGATGCTGCTTGGCCTGCTGTGTTCATCCAGTCCTGCACCTTGTTGTCTCAGATAGTAGACCCTGCTTCCCAGCTTTCAGTGCTCCTCCAGCTATTACTTACTTACTATTTACTCAAGTCACGCGAGCTCCAGAGTTGTGTAGTAACATCACTGAACTGATTGATTAGAAAATAGCTAATTACAGTGTTACTACAGGCCTGGATTGGCTGTGAATTAATTATATTTGTCCCCACAGGACAAATGGGAGCTGCTCAGTACAAGCGGGAAGTCTGTAGAACTTTACCATCACATCAGCCTGATGACATTGGACAGCATTCTGAAATGTGCCTTCAGTTTTCACAGCAACTGTCAGCTTGGAAGGTTAGGATTTGAAAGATTTCAGAAGTAACTTTTATACATTGTTTTGACTAATAGTAGTTTCTCAAAGATAAAATGTGAATTTCTCTCTCCTTCTGTAGCTGTCTCTCTTCATCTTTCATGGTTCAATTTTTTTCTTCCCCTTATTAGTCTTATAATGAAAGTGAACAAAGCTGAGCTTACTAATATCTAGTTCCTCTCTGCTATATTAAACTGTTGATTTTAATTTTTATTCTTTTATTTAAAAAAGCAATGACAGAAATTCAAATGATAACATCATGTAGTTTTTTTTTGTAGATAGTTTGCTTTTCATTTTGCCTCCTTTCTTTCTCCATCTCTCTCTTTTGCCCCATGTAAGATTCATACACTTTTCTAGTTCTCATCAATGTTTGACTTCTTTCTTCTGGGGATATTTTAAATGAGAATGGTTTCTGGGAGTACTTAGTTTGGGAATGGGGACAGGAGTAATTGGGGCTAGTGTTAGATTTAAGATGGTTGCAACACAGTTGAACTGGGGTGTTCAGCATAGCTGCTACTGATCATATCTCATTGTGACCGTCTTTTCATTACTGAGATGAGTAGTTTGAGTTGAGACCTGGCGCGCCATACCTGCTTTGGTAAAAAATGCCCCGAATAGCATAATTTTCATTCTGGGGAGAGAGGGTATAGGCACAGGATGGAGTTTACCTTTCAATGCTGGACGGCGTCACAGCGTAGCTAAGTGCTGAAACAGGAAGTTAAAAGACCCATTTCTGTCCCCTGAGAGTTTGTCCCATTTGTTTGTTACATTTTTGAGCATCTCGCCCTCATTCTTCATACTCCATCACCACTCACTCACTCCCCATGCCACCATAATTTCCAACATAATTGTTGGAAAGTAAAATTGGAGGTTCCTACAACTCTGCAAAAATGTCAATGAAGCAGATCACTAAAGCATCAATAACATAAACTTTAAGTAATCCACACCTCTTAGGCTTGTGCAAATAAACATTGAGGCATTGACAAAAGAGATTACAGTGAAACAAAACTCAACTTCATAAAGATGTCAATCAAGCAAAGCCACCAACTCTAGTCAGCTGTGAACATGAAACCTAAGGGAAGATTTAACAGTTTTATGGATGATAAGTGTTAGTTTCAGTTGTTTAAATATTGCTGAACAGGATAAACCAATCCGTCAGCAATTGGACTGTATCACTGAGAGCCATGAAGAATCCATGGAGACAGAAGGAGGAGAATGCCCTTGATGGGTGGAAATACTGCATATAAAGCTGGAGCAATTTTTAGAGTAGAACTAGCATGCCAAAAGATTAAAACCATGATCAAACAAGAAGGATTAACCTTTCACTTCTTAAACGGTAACAAAGTACCCAACACAGTAGCAGCTAGAAAAATGTTGAAAGAAGTGATTGTAAAAAGATAATAACAATGATTTCCTTTAAATTTAGAAATGAATTTTTGGATAAAGGTAGGACTGTTGCTTGAAATACCTAAAACATACAGCAATGGAAACAAGCATCCATCACACTTTGTTAATCTTGCGATTACCCTACAATTTGTGAGGTTTGTAGGTAGAGTGCGTATTATTGAGTTGCCACTTAATACCACTTGCTCTTTGTCCTACTGAACAACATTTAAATTTGACAGCCCCAAGATCTCCACCAGAATCAAAGTTGAGCTAATTCAGTAAATAAAGAACTTGACCACCTCTCCTAAAGCAATGAATCACAAAACTTGAAACTGTGGAACCATGTACATACCTGTGAGTTAAACTGGGAAGTTAATTTGGTTACTTGTTTGCATGTTAGAATTACTTTTGAACTTGTCAGATTTTGACAACCGGTGTCATCATTCCATCATCAGTTTTTCAAAATTTTCTGGTTGTCATATTTGCATTTGAATGGATATTTAACAATCAGGATAACCTTGTGACGGGAATTTAGGGGATTGACAGGAGTTGGGGAGGCTGCAGTTGAGAGCAAGAACAGACCCCTTGTCCTTATATGACTTCTACTTCAATGAGAAGAGATTGAAATGGGCAAACAGTGAGGTGAACTCAATTCTTTTCATATGCAGAAATCACAAAAATTCAGAAGCAAATAAGAGGCAATTTTGAAGTGAGGCAGTGAAATAAAGATCGAACCCCAGTTGACTGCCTGGGTCTGAACTCTGGGGAATGCTGTACCTGTCAATGTAGGCAAACTTGGGAGTGAACAGAATAGGTGATTGAACAAGACCTGATGTAAAGAAACCTCACCTCGAGTGGAAGATAAATCTAATGTGGATTCCTGCTGCTCTTTCATGGGTCTCACTTAGCTAGATTTGAACCTATAATTCAGAGAATCTTTCTGGGATTGATTTTAATCAAAGCAGGTTTAAAGCAGAAGCGAGTGCAGAATCAGAGCAAAATTCATTATTAGGTTAAGTTTCAGGTCCAGTGGATTTCTACTCCATGGCTCATTCAAATGCCAAACCGCAGAAAAATCAGAGCATCTTCCAGTGTGAGTAGATCAGATGGTCAATTAGTGGCGAGGAGGGGATTTCTGGAAGGTCTCAAGGAACATTAGCGATTCTACTTTCAAGAAGAAAAGAACTGACATCCATCTTAGGAATAAATTTGTGATCAAATGCAAGTAATGTAAGTCAGCCCATGATATTTCATCCTTTGGATTTCCAATCTGCGTTCGTTAGGAGTGTTACCTTTTATTAACCAATTCAGAAACACTTCTGGTTAATTACTTTTGAAATATGCTCACTCCTCTTGTATAAACAAAGATAGTGATCAATTTACACACAGCAAGTTCCCACAAGAGTAACAAATTGACTAGTTAAAAAATACTGATTAGCACTTTTCACAACTTATGGATATCCCAAAGATGATAGTAAATCCAACTTCTACTCAGCGAAATTTTATATTATTTTTATGATACCATGTAAGTTGAGCCTCTTTTAACCAGTATACATGAATGTAAATATCAGTAGCACATCTTCATGATGTGTGTCAATTCTTTTATCTGAATTCTGTTTTCATTTTCCAGTAATAACTCATATATTCAGGCTGTCTATGAACTTGGATTCCTTGCAAGTGAACGATTTAGAACCTTCCAGCATCATTATGACCTTATCTACTACCTCACCCCTAATGGAATCAGATTCCGGAGAGCCTGCAATTTGGCACATGAACACACAGGTAAGCAGGAATTACCAACAGGCCAGAGTCAGCCAATGCCAAACTGCACAATTAGCTATAGACTTCAAAAGAGTATCAGAATGAAGAGATATAAAGCCATTTAGCCAGTTCTCTATTTAATATATATTCAAAACATTCACTTGGATGTTGCACGAGAATGGATGGGATTGAGACATGCCTGATATTGGGCCTTGGGCCTCGATAAGTGAATTTATCAACGAATAATGAGAATGGTGCAATGGTAGGATATGCCATTTGAATGTGATGTTGCTCGACATCCTGCACTGCACCTCTTTTCTTGTGAAAACACTTCTGGTATTTACCCTACTGCAATTCTTCCGTTTACTTCATGAGCATATATCTGGAGATCTCCTGCAGTGCACACCTACGCCCACCCCATAGGAAAAACGGATTCCTTACCACATCTTGCACAAAGACCTCTGAAACACTTGGTGCTGTACTCTCATGTGTTCAGTCATTACTCAATGTATCAACTCACAGCTTCCATTTTCAAGTGATTCCCACTACCTTTTGCAACCACTATCCATCTTCCTTTTAAAAGTTACAGACTGCCTTTGGGGGCCTTACTCAATATTGGACCCAAAGCTGCCTGCATGGAGTAATAATGCAAAGCAGTAGGTTCCCTGAATTTACTGTGCTGTCTAGAATGAAATGAATGGTCATGGACTAACCATGTACCAAGATCCCTGTACATGTTTTCTATGGTTAGTCAATTTCTCCCCCTTGAGTTTCCGGCTTTCGCTCATTCCATGCTCACCAATCTCACCACAGATCCTTTGACACCTTCCAAACCCACAACCTCAATAACCTAGTAGCAGCCAATGAATGGGAACACCACCATATGCAAATTTCCCGCCATGCCACATAATATCCTGACTTGGAACTATATCAATATTCCTTCATTGTCATGTGGCCCAAATCCCGGAAGCCCTTGCTAACAGCACTGAGGGTGTCCTTACACTGCGTGGACTACAATGGTTCAGCCATAACCACATCCCATGAATGAACCGAAACATTACTTCTACCTGGTGTCCCACTGGTTAAGTATGTTGACACTCCATACCACATTGTCCAGTTCCAGGCCATGTTTTTCAACCAATCTTTCCTCACACTTATCTCCATCCTTTGTTGCCATCAGTAATGTATAATTTAGGCTGACAAATTCTATGCATCCTTCACCTGGGACATTTATCTAAATTAAACTATTCTTTTGCTAGATAAAGTAATTCACCAGAGGAAGGAGGCACTGAAAGATGAAAAGGAACTTGAACGAATCAAAGAAAAGAAGCATCGTGACTTCTTAGATATTCTTCTGTGTTCACGGGTCAGTTCCTACAAATAATCTTGCTTATGTACATTGATTTTTATGCTGGGGGGAGTAGGCCAAACTGATCATTGTGACATTTCCTAAAATATCTGTGGTGCAGCTTGTCTCTTCATTTTAGAAGGTGTGTGGTGTTTTATAATGGTGGTAAGGATCTAAAAGGATTAATGTTGTGGATTGCCTTAAGCCCCAGGCCTCCTGTCTCAGTGGTAGTAATGCTACTACTACACCATAAGAGTCCCTGCCATCTAAATCTTCGTTATAGTCTCCATAACAATGTTAATCACATTAGTTTAACTTCTAACTAGTTGCTATCAAGCAATAAACTACATCTTGTTTAAGACAAGAGGCTCTTCTCATTAGATTACCAAGTTGTTTTCCTCTAATACGTTAGACCAACAGATCTTGTAGATTTCTACCAGGAAAGAAGATGGTAGCAGCAAATCTACCAGATAAATGAGCAATAGAACAGAAAGCTCATAAAACAATTGATGTGTTCCTGCCCATAATTGCAAGGAAGTAAAGGAAGAGTGTTACTTGACCTGCCTTTATCAGATGACATTTTTTCCGATACATATCTACAGTCAAAGAGAATGAGAGAGGCCACACGTGGTGTGCCACTGTCACCTCCCTCCACAACCAACTGGATTTTTTTTCTCAGGTTTTATTTGTATTTTATCCAACGGATGGTGAAGGTTGATCTCATTGACATTGCCCCGTTTCAATATCTGGCTCACTTCATCGGGCAACTCCCAGATCTTCCATTTGAAGATGCATATTTAAAGTACCGCAGATCACACAAAACAGCCATCCAGTTCAACCACTTAGCAATCTACGCAATAAGCCAAACTCCTCTTCATTACTTCAGAGATAGTAGGAACTGCAGATGCTGGAGAATCTGAGATTACAAGGTGTAGAGCTGGATGAACACAGCAGGCCAAGCAGCATCAGAGGAGCAGGAAAGCTG